ATATTTTAAACTATTGATGCAAGGACACTGGATCCCTGATTTGCATCTGCTTTCACAAACAGTAGTTTCTAAATCAAATCAGAAAGACAAGTTGGTTATTAGCAACTTCATTAAAAATACCAGAAACCACCTCCCCTGTATAATAGACTCCAACACACCCAAATCATTTTCTTTTTCACAGTTAAACTATAAGTACTTCAGCCGTTTAACTCTTTTAACTTGCACATTTCATTTAGTATTCAATCCATCTATCTCCAATGAAAAAGTAGTTCTCCAGTGTCTGCATCAGCTGGGGGGTTCCATTTCTTTGAAGAATACCCTTTGGATAAGACCAAGGTTGGGGGTCTCCAGTAAGTTTGGGTTTAAGGCCTTGGAAATGAATGCCACTTGCTTTGATCTTCTGCCTTCATGTCCTCTGATCTTGATAGCATAATATAATTATTTCAGGAGTGTTGTCCTGTGAATGAATTAAGTGGCATTTTCATTCAGTTTAACTTTTCCAAATACATGTCTTCATTTACAATTCACAAAAGAAAATTAGCATCAACTACAATATATCTACTTTATCAAACTATTACAAGGTTTCATCTAATCCGTGACCTGGGTCCCATCTAATTCCCATTGATGTCTGTTCTTGAGCAGCCTCCACAGTCTAAATTACTGTATTCAACATAGCGCTCTTACGCTGAAGGTGCACCATAGGTTACAAGTGTCAGTTGAATTTCCATATTGTTTGATTTTAGGACTTTAAAAGCTAGAGCTAAGATGACTAGGATGGTACATTTTGCAATAAACTAATTGTCCATTTTGTTGATTGTCCAGATTGTTGGGCCCCAGATGAGAGAAGGAATTTATGGGCTCATGCTAATTGTTGTTAGTACATAACAAGTTTGACTCCATGATGATGTGACAATCGTGCTTGCTGTCTACATGATTCCTGATTGGCTAGGATTGCTTTGGGAAGAGATCCCCATTTTTGACACCAGAAGTGCAGATGGGGAAAAGAATCTGTTACACATAGGAAAGCAAACAATATGCAGTTTGCAGTTTAAAGGTAAATGAGCAATCTTTAACAACAGTTTCATTTTTACTTTTATATCATATAATCATTTTTCTTTCTTAATGGATGGTAGAAACACTGATGAAAGAAAAATTTGTTTGGTTTCCACAGGGATTTTTTTGTGGCTGGGTTTTTTAAAGGGTAAATTACTGACTACACATCATTTCTATACAATTTGCTTTAAATCATGTATTTTATTGCATAGTTCTAGAGAGAAGAGCTACGTATTTTGTAAACCAGCTTCAATGAAGTGTGTATGTGATACTGAAATGTATCACACACACCATTACTAATAAGTGTGTGCATACCTAGCTTGTACATGCACATACACACTCTTCTGGGACAATTGCTAATGTGTATGTATATATGTATATTTACACAAACTTCACACTGGAAGTTTTTCTCTGAAGCTCCTAGAACAATAATGGTGCATTGGTGTTTCTTCTAGTAAATAATGACAGTTCTCTCTTTAAAAGGGTGAATTAAATCATATATTCAAATGAATGAAATGGAGTGTGTATGTGTTTATGGAAGAGCTAATTAGATTTTTTGTTACTATATCATATGGGTGAAATGTAGAAATAGACTGTACAGTCCAGAGTTGTATAATTGAAATATTTTAGATAGCTGAGGCTATAAAATGTGACTAGTTATGTAGCCTGCTGGAGGTAGTTCTTTTGTTTGTTGTTTTTATGTGGAGTAAGGAGAGGAGATATACTCTTGAAACAAGTGTCTATACCTACCAGGTGTGCACTAGGTGGACTGGATAGAATCTGAAAGAGGACTGTAATTATTATGTTGTCTTAAAGTGATTCAAAAAAAAAAAGGAAGCTTGGAAAGATCTGCTGCTTTGAAGTGCTTGTAAAACTTTTGTGTAGGTAACAGGAAGAGCCAACACTGGACTTAGTATCCTATCTACATATCCACACTTACAGCCACAGGATCTTTGGCAATATGCAAGGATTCCTGCTTCTTCAGAAGGTAGATTAAATAGAGAATGGCCTTCACAGGCAAAAGAATGTTGAAATGAAAATATGGCCTTACAAGCTGGACCTTTAGAATTTGATGAATATTCACTTAAATTACTAGAAAACTGTACCAGAACTTTTTTTTCTAAAAATAGTTCCAAGCTAGGTCAGAAGAGAGAAGGAAAATGAATGTGGAAGAAGGGACTGTTCTTTTCCTCCTATGATAGCCTATAGTTTGTCATCACTTTGTGAATTCAGGACCAGTCTCAAAAATTAAGGCTATCACTTGTCTGTTACTCTACCTTGGACTATTATTTCTGAACTTACAATGCAATGGCCATGGTCAACCGGAGAGCAAGATAGGTCTGGTTCTGCCAGTATGCTTGGCAAAAACTACAGAACATAATCGGTATTATTCAAGTGAGGAATTATTTTTCATACAAATGTTTCCTTTTTGTCTTAAGAAAAATGTACAATATTTTTAGAAAAAGTTACACATCACTGAATCCCAAAAATGTAAGAGCAGATTAAAGCACTTCAGGGGATTTTAATTCAGCTCTTAATGCAGATGAGGTGCTCTCTGTCTGTCATTATTTCTGGGGAAATGTCAAGTAGAATAATCAGAGTTTGAATTTCAACTTGCTGTCTAGTCACTAGAATGTCATTGCTAGGCACGCATGGACTGATAGCACTATGGTTAGCATCATTGCTGTACAGGGACAGCCCCAAAGGAAAATTGGCTTTTCTGCCAAGTTGTTGGCAATTAACAGATAAGAAAATCTCTCTGCAATCAGGAAGAGACAGATTTTGTGTGTCCTAGTGAAATGTCATCTTGTCCTCCTGAACGAAATCCTAAGTAAAAACAGTTACTGCCCTGATGTTGCCTTATGAGATGCATTGTCTATATACCATTCTTATTAAGCACAATACAGGAAGCAGAGAATTTGAGCATACATTGCCAGGAGTATCCAGCAGTGATCTGGTTATTGTAGAGAATCATTAAATTCTATGTGGCCTTTTTGTGCCCCATAGATATGGATTCTGCCCTGGACAAAGCACAGTAGAAGAGATGTTAGTAAAGCCTATATGTTTCTAATTAATAATGCACAAGGAAATTGCTCCACTCAGTTCTCCTTTGATCTGTTATGAAAAGCTGAGCTGCATCTTTTCTTTTAATTTTATGTTTCCTTTCTCAGTCTTTTTCCTGCATTTAATTTCAATTTAATTTAATGCTTTGATTTTCAAACTTTGAAGCATAACTTCTATGTATTGTACTTGGGATCTCATCTTTCTGAGTTGTATCTTCACTGAAACTGCAAGGTAGGAAACCTGCTATCTGCAGGTACTAAGGTACCATCTGACTTCATCTTTAAAGATTCTTTTAATTTAACAAAATTTGAAATTGGCATGCTCCAGCCCACATAAGACCCAGAGGCATTTTTTGCAATGGAAAACAAGAAGTGGCTACAGCAGAGGGCTTTTTGGAATGTACCCCCAATTGTCCATTAAAATAAGATGAACTAAATTATGGATGGTATCTTTGCCCTCCCATTTTGTCCTTTGTGATTGACCATACCTATCATGGAAGTTGTTCTGTGAGAATGCTTCTAACATGCCCCCTCCCCACCATTTGTCTACCCACAGGAGAATTTGTGAAGCAATCTTATGGGAATGAGCACTTCAGAGATTAAGAGAACTACACAGTGTGTCCAGCTAAAGAGACAAATGTTGCCTGCCTTCTGCTATGACACAAACTGTGTATTGCTAAACAGTGCCATAACATTATCCAAGCTGATCATCAGAGTTACCTTAGGAGCAAGGCTGCCCACTGAAAAGGTCATGTGAAGCTTTGCTCTTCTTGACTCATGAACAGCCACTCCATCTTTGGAGTCCTGAAGGGTCTAAGTTCTGCTCCTGTAAAACTGTGAAATGTGTTTGTCCTGAATCTCAGACAGGAATTCATCTTCATCAGTGTTCATTCTCTGTCCCACACATAGGCACACCTTGGCATTTGCATGTGATTCCTCATGCTATTCCATAAGACATTCCATGGAATTAGAAACTCTATTGGGCATGACCAGCTTTCCTCAGTCTAGCTTAACATTAAGGCAGTGGTTCAAAAGACGCCTATTTTGAATATCAGGCTTCTCTCATCTCCATTCTTGCCATAGTGCATCTCCTCACCTACTGACTCTACATGATATAAAACCCAAAACTTGACCTTTCCAACTGATGCTACCTGCTTTGCTTGCCTTTACTGTGAGCTGTACTTCCATAACTATCAGGCAGAGCTGGTTCAGCACCAACGCTGCACGTGCTACAACTACATGGTTGATTAAGATTCAGTGCTGTTACCAGCCAAAAAAAATATACAGTATCATTTAATTTAATACTTAGATGAAAGATATATTAAACTTTAGTAGCAGTTTGGAATGGATCTGACTATTTTTTAAAATGCCGCTTTTTTCATCTTTTCAAATGTCCATTTAATAACAAAAACGAGTTCCCACTTGAAATACATATATTGGACATGAGCAGTATTGGGAAGCGAGTACAAGTGTGCGGTATAATTTCATGTTTTAGGTTTCTAGGAGGCTTCTGGATAGCTGTTGTTAGATTATTTTGTTTATTAAATGCCATGCATTTCTTTAAATGTCAGGAAATGATTCTTCATTTCTTAGGCTTATGTCATTTTGGTATTCAGGTTTCTTCTTGAAACCAAATCACACATGCCAGTTATTTCATGAAATGGAAAAGATGCCCAAGACTAGAAAGAACTTAGGATACAATCCCTACACTAGGCAGCCACAATTACTAAGACTTACATACTAAAGAGATACAGCTTTGGGGTATACTAACAAGGCAAGTATCTGTTTACAGTTTCTTTAAACCTTACGTGTGGAATCAGATAAGTGTGAATTATTTTGCCATTCATGCATATGTTGTTACCCAATCCAGATGAATTCAGTATCTTGGATAGACCCATTTATTGTTATAGCAGGGCGTATTTTACAGGTTACTTTTTTATATATATATATATTCAGCATCCAGGATTTAAAGGAACAGACTAATGTATAGATTTAGCCTTTCAAAACCAAAAGGTGCTTTTGTTTTAGTCAGAAAAGGAGTCTTCCATCAGAACGGATGAAAGTTTTAGAATTACCATTAAATTATATATTCTTTTTTTGAAACGTGGAAAAAAATTTTTTAAAAAGGGTTTCTCAGGTTGCTCTTCCATTTCATGATGAAAACCAGCTTTGTACACCAACAGATCTTCATTTTGATTATGGCTTGGCAGAAGCACTTTCAGCAGTCTCTTCTATCCGTTCAACTATTCCGTCCATATATTGAGTTTTCAGAGCTTTATATTTTCGACCTTCCTGCAGCAGAATGACATTACATGCAAAGTAAGAGACCATTAATCCTGTCATTATTTCTACATGGAAATAATGGCAAATAGATGCTTTACTAATAATGTTCATTTATCATCTGTAATTCTTAAAATACAGGAGTAGACAGAAGACCGATTTGGACATCCAGTTAGATTACTGGATAATGTAGAGTTAATTAAGCAAACATTTCAGGTGTTTAACTATTCAGCAGGAGCAGGAGAAAAGAAATAACTTCGCTTCCTAAAATAAGCAAGAAGTATATTTCTAAGCTGCAGACCTTATTCAAATCAGTCTACGGCCATGAGAATACAACAAATATTGCCTCTCAAGTGCCACCAATTTTCCACTTACATTCATTGTTCTAAGAAAAAAAAATATAAAATTCCACAAGCCTGAAATCTGCCATAGAAGAGAGGTAAGAGGAATAGCCTATGTTTTACTGGGTTACTCCTACATGTTCAAGTCATTTTCATCTAATCTAATAGTCACATGGGATTTCTCCTAGATACCCTGTAGTAAAAAAAGCAAAATAATGTTTTGGAGGAATAATGCTGACCAGACCAATATGACTCTCTGCTGATTTAACAACACTGGAAATATAGAATGAAGAATGCAACAAGACCTAGTTTAAGATCAATACCTGCATCCTCACCCTCTTTTTATAGATGAGGACATTCTTCTACCCACAGTTCTGTGAATAGAGCAAAGTGGTAATGCTGGTGCTGGTAAGTGATTCCAATAAAAAAGTTATTAATAACTCTAACAACAAAATACCTGACTTTCTAAATCCACACAACACCACTTCAAAAAACAACCCACTAGTGTTCCAAATTATATGGCATCTGTTGGGAATCCATTCTCAAACATATTTACTCAAGAAGGATCCTCTGGAGCAATTAATTAACCAAAACACAGAAATTATGAAAAGTCCAAGCTTTCCTAAGGGAACGGCTTTCTGCTGTCAGTACACTTGATAAAGGACCCTACTCTAGGATAAGGATAGAGCTTGTCCCTAGTCTATCAGCAGAAACCTTTGTACTTCAACCTTCACTTATGGCTTTAACATTGATCCACAATTTAATGACCTTTTGATATAGGTATAATTCCAGATGTGTATACACAAAGTTCCCTTCCCAATATCTTCACCACTTGGGACAAAGTCACTCTCAGTTCTCCCTGGCAAAAAGTCTTTCCATCTCTGGAGAAGAAGAAACACAATCTTGTTTCATCAAATCAGTCCTCTGAGTTCATATATGTCTCCAACATCACACCTAGCTATGGAGCAATGACAGTAAATAATTTCTTTGCAAGAATTCAATCCTGCCCCTTCCAAGTTAAATTCTATGAAAAACAGCAGTTGCCTCCAAAAGGCACATTCTGGATCTACATGGTGTAGAGTCAGGGTGTCAGACTAGGATTAGAGGAGACTGAAGATAAAATTGAGTTTGTATTTTAGTTATTTATTTCTTAGGCTTATATGCTATGCCAACTGCAACCAATTCTGAGTAGCTCGTATACCTAAATATAATACTGGTGTTAAAACATCAAACAGAACTCACATTGTGTGATCTCAAATCAGTCTCTCCTCACAGAATCAGTCTATATACTACTAAGACTCTCATGTTTATTTGTTTAACCCTCAAGTTAGCCAAAACAGTGCTTTATACTGCAACGATTTTTGAATCAAGGTACCTACAATCCGCTAACTTTAAAGAATGTGCAAAAAATCCGGGACCCATTACTCCTGTGGAATTGAAATTTCCATGATGTTCACCCCAGTTTTATTCACAAAGTTATGGCTGTTGCAGTGTCCCTGCGGACACATGATCATGATTTCCGACGTTCCCTGCCAGCTTCCCACAAGCAAAGTCAATGGGGAAGCCAAGAGAAAGTCAAAAGTCGCTCCCGTTCCCACTGCTTTTTTGCCTGCCTGTGGTCATTCTGTTTATCTGTTTAGGTAAGTAAATATTGACTTATTATTGAAGTTCGTTTGTGACTACAATTATTTTTTATTTATGGTATATACTCTTAGATGATCATGGGACAGTCCAGCAGTGGGGTAAAAAAAATATGGTCAGCCTAAAATTTAATGTTCATTCTGGTCACATCAGGTGTTCATTCTGGTCACATCCTTTCTCTCAAAGGATGATCCAACGGGTCACAGGGTTGTCTAGTATAGGATAAAAAGGGGAACTATGTATGTGGCCTGGAGTTCTTTTGAGAAGTGATGGGATACAATGACATTAATAAAGGTAATTTTGTAGCCAATCATGAAGTTGCTGATGTTATGTATATAAGGAAGAGGAGAGCACCCAAAAGCCTCAGTGGGTATTATTTATGATAGATGCTTGACTGATTGGCAAACACAACCTAAGTGTTTCCTACTCCAGGGAAGATGTTTAAACAAAAGGCAGAAAATACAGTCCCATAGGACAATTGCAGATTGATCAGCAGGAGCTGGAGAAGTCCCACTTGTGTTATACCTTTGTCAACCATTGCGGAGGGTCCTTCTCCACAGTATTTTCAATGAGCTTTGAAATATACTTGAATAATGGGTAATCCATTAACAGTTTTGCTCCCACTTTCAACCCTGTAACAATTTTGTACTAACCTTTTTCCCTATGAAAACTGCAGATACGAAGCCCAGAAGCAGGAAAGCCATTGCAAAGTAGGCAACCTTCACACGAATCTTGCTCCTTGATGCACTCATCATCTTTGCCCTTTAAAAAGCAAACATAATGTTATCCCATGGAAATAGGGAGCCAGTGAAATGGCTATATTGCATGTAAGATCTTGAAGGCAACTCTCCCAAGGTTTTAGTTTACATTTAGGTTTAATGGTTTTAAAAGTTTTGTTTTTAATTGTTCTGTTTTCATTGTGCATTGCCCTGAATCACATTTGTGAGATGGGTGGCCATATAAATTAGAGAGAGATCAGAATCTAGGTGTTTAAAACAGCATTGCCAATCTTCCAACAGGGAAAAAAATCAAATCTATCTGATGGATCATCTTTCTTGCAATTTTAAGACTTCTAGCTGTCTCTTCTGGATATTGATATGAGTCTAAAACAATACATTTAAAGAGACTCCACAGATGAGTCACTGAAAAGCAATCATACTTGATATTAACTACAGTAAGATGTTTGCAATTTCCTACACAGTCTTATGAGAAAAGATGAAATATCAAATTTGCATGACATTAACAATGGCAGTGAAAAGTCAAAGGTAAGTTTGTACTACGAAAGTTAAGAACAGAGGGCAGCTTTCTCCAATCTGCGTGCCAGATGTATGAGCTTCAAATACCAGAATTCTCAGCAGTCAGAATTCTCATTCTCATGTTGACTGAGGGAGTCCAAACATCTGAGGGAGCCCAGTCTGGGAAAAGTTGATAGAGCTTACTGATTCGTACCTATGATCACTCTTTAGTTCAGCATCCTAACAGTGACCAACCAGATCTTTCCAAGAGATTTTCTGCAGATAATCAGGCAAATATGGCCTCTGAAGAAGACGTTCCACTTACCTACTGATAGAACTTATTCTCATCAAATTTACATTTTTCTTTCTTTAAAACCACCATTTAAGCCAGTGGTCTACCAATAGCTACCAATATCATAATTTCACACTAGTATTCAGCCTTATTTGGCCCAAAACAGGTGCAGATCAATTTGACTGGATATCCCAGAGGATACTGGGATGTGAAATGAAAGTGGCAGCACATCAGATTTTAACAGGTGTACTTTAAACCTTACCATTTCTGAATAGATGAAATCTTAGGATCATTTCATACATTTCATAAATACATATAAGAGTAAAACAGTAAGTTAAACACTGTATATTGTTAAAGCATAAAATAAATTTAGCTTTGATTAAAAAAAAGTACTGAATATATTTCAAATCTCCCCCAAAGGAAGGGAACATTTGGGTGGTCCCCACATTCTCCAAACATTATTTAGTGGTCCACAATTGCAGAAAGTTTGAGAAACACCCTTCTATGTGCTTATTGAAAGAAAAAACAACCTCCTGTAATTGGTTTAATTTCTGGTCTAGAACGATTTTAACTGAAGTTTTGAAGCTTCACTGATTTAAAGCACTTCATACACCTTTTAATGTTTGCCTCGGGGGACGATCCTGCACTTTGCAGCCAGTTACAAACTCTATTATAGACACAGCAAATTGGCTCAACTGACAGCAATTCCAAAGGTGACTATAAAAAGCTGCACCAGAGCTTCCAAGAAAGCAGCATGTGGGCCACAGATTGCCACTCTTGTATTAATGTGCCCCCGTCAACATCTGCCTTTTCACCACATGAAAAACATGTATCTACTTGCAACAATTGGTCTCAACAACAAGCATTTTTAAATGATAGTAAAAACTGAACTTACGAAACATGCAGAGGTATATCTTCTTCTTTCTTGAAACGGCCTGACCACAGCAACAGTTTCTTATCCCATTCAGTAACCTTGTGTCTGAATGGAGAGGAGAGGTCTGTAGGAGAAACGAAAGGAAAATGCATCATCTTGAAAACCCAAGAACAAAAGGCAATGTCAAAATTATACTCTAACAACACAACCGAGGAGCCCTATGGTAATAGTATTTCATATGGATAACGTATTTATAGACATGTGTCAACAGTTAAGAGAGTTTTTAGCCAACCACAAAGAGAAGCTTGCTGTACCCACAGCAAACTGCTTGGAGTACAGATCGGAAGCGTTCCCTATTGATCATCATCTGGCTGAGCAAGCCTATTCCTCCCTTCTTTGTTCTCTCCTAACATTACAAGTCCTTGACTTACAACCATTTAATGACCGTTCAAAGTTACAACAGCACTGGAAAAAGTGACTTATGACCAGTCCTCACACTTACAACCATTGTGATCACATGATCAAAATTCAGGCACTTGGCAACCAGCATGTATTTACAACAGTTGCAAAATTCTGGGGTCACATGATCACCATTTGCAACCTTCCCAGGGGGCTTCCAATAAGCAAAGTCAATGGGGAAAGCCGGATTTGTTTAATGACCATGTGATTTGCTTAACAACTATGGTGATTCGCTTAATGACTGTGGCAAAAAAGGTGGTAAAATCAGGCATGACTCACTTAATGACCACACTGCTTAGCGACAGAAGTTCCAGTCCCAATTGTGGTCGTAAGTCAAGGACTACCTGTAGAGGTCAAAGGGATATTTTCATAGCGACCAAGGAACAGACTCTGAAGTCAGAATCTCAGAAAGGGAGGTGTGAAAATCCAAAGGTCTACAGCTCTGTAAAAATTTGAAATAGCATGAAACACTTCCAAAATGATTGTAACACCCATTTCAATGAAACAATTACATCAAACTTAAAACAGGTTGCTTCCAGTTCATGTTTTACACACCACCGTTGTGCTCCCTGGACATCCTCTGACATGATTGCAGCTGGAGAATGACTTGGAATATATTATAGTAAAATAATTAGAAGTGAAAGAAACACAGTAGAGAAGATTAGCAGTATTTGCCTTTAAGTCTAATCTGTTACCATAAGGTATTTTAAAACATGAATCAGACCAGCATACTAAAAGCAAAAGCACAACCCAGTAATACTCAATTAGCCAGGTTTAACTAAAGAGATTTTTAATGTGATATTTGGAGAATTTGTCAGACTCCTGCTTAGCCAAGAAAAGAGGTCCGCTGGGAGACATAATTAGGCTTGGGAGAACAAAACAAGTTCCCCAAATTACTGTCACAGAGACTTCCTAAATACAAATAGTTAGGGTCTTTCCAATAATTTAACCCCAAAAGTGAACAGGCTTTCCTCCCCTCTATTCATCTTTAAAATTAATTTCATAGCTCATGACTCCCAAGCATGGCTGGTATTTGAACATGGTGGAGAAAAGATGAACAATTCTGGTTGCTATTAGAGAATGACACTAAATTAAGAGAAAAAATAATTGAAATAGACTCTGGATAAGGCCCAGGTACCAGATAGGGGGTAGGCATGGTATACAAGACTGCCTATCCAAGATGCTGATCAGATGCAGTGGGGGCTGTAACTCGAATCATACTGTGAAACCAGTTCATTGAAAATCTGGAAAGTCCTATTACTGGGGTGACTAATACTGATTATACTTTTATATGTTTGCATTTTAATATGTAGGGGTTCTGGCTCAACTGTTCATGTATTTATTGAGATTTTATGGAAATATTATTGAAATACTTCTTGAATTGTTACTGACTGCTCATATGTATAAATAGGTAATTTATATTATTATTTCATCTATCAGAAGGTGCTGTGGACAGTATTTTGTAGAAAGTGGGATACTGATCTAATGGGCATATACTGGATAGCGTCTGTGATGATAGGCACAATATTGATTCCTCTGCCATATCTGCTTTATAAACTCTGCTATAAACAATATATTTGTTTAGATTCTGTATCTCTGGAATCTAATGAATCAGTAATGACAATAAATTACAGGTGCACCAAAAGGTGAAAACGATGCACTCCCAGCATGGTAGAGAAAGCTGCCCTATGACAAAAAAACCCATTATCCTAATCTATCCTCAATATGAAGGAGTGGTTTCATCTGAATCAAAAATATACCTGAAACATAGAAAGGATACCTCACTCTGCTAAGTAGGGCACAATTACTGGTGGAAAAGAATGGAGAGCAGGTTATGTTCTCCTCGAGGAGCCTTAAGTGGGCAAGTGACTGAATTATTTATGAAACATAACAGCAAAAGGTAGGCATAGAAAAGCCAGTTTAGTAGAGTGGTTAGAATGATAAACTTTGCATTTAGTTATTGTTTATGTGCCATCAAGTCGTTGTCAACTCTTAGCAACCACATAGATTTTCTCCATAACAATCTGTCCCTAATCTGATCCTTCAGCTCTTCCAACAGTGCACTCATTGGCACTGTAACTGAGTCCTTGCTGCTGGTCATCGTCATCTTCTCTTTCCTTCCATCCTTCCCAGCATTAGAGCCTTTTCCAGAGAGCTGGGTCTTCATGTAATATGTCTGAAGTAGGATAAATTGACCTGGTCATTTGTACCTCAAGTGAGAACTCTGAGTTGACTTGTTTTCTTGGCTGACTATGGTACTCAAGAATCTTCTCCAACATCAAAGTTCAAAAGCATCAACACTCTTCCTCTCCTGCTTCTTCAAAGTCCAACTTTCGCTTACATGCAGTATCATATCACCATGACTTTGCATTTAGTTAAGCCGGACACAAAACATCACTTTCTCTAAAACTAATCTAACCTGCTGTGAGGACTGTGAAAATATAGGAGAGGGTGATCATGTAAATGCTTTTTGGATACAAAACACAATAAAATATTAGATATCAAAATAACAAACCTGCTAACTAGTCTGAAGCTGGAGCCTGTGTAAAATACCAGTAGCATATCTGCTAATGTTACAACTGCTAGTTTGAGAAAAAAGAATGGAAGCATAACCTGGCATCGTAAATGGGTTTACATTGCAACTACAACCTCTGCTTACTTCCCTAGAAGAAAGTTTTACTGCCGAATAAACATGGAGTTAGGAGAAGCAATTCTGTGGATGTCATTGTACTATATACTCATGCGGTAAGGGGGAAAGGTTACGTTCTCTCAAACTTTATGAAACCAACATTTTGAAAACCTGAGTCACTCATATAGTCACTGATTCTTGCTGCAACCATTAATCACCAAGATATGAACAAATTCCTTCCTGTAAGTACACATTTGTATTTTTCACAGTAAATTCATTGTCAATCCAGCCAGCAAACATAAATTCTGCAAGGCATACAATTTAAATCCGTTTACTCTGCATGCTTTGTGCAACTGAGAGAATACCTCTTTTTTAGGAAGATGGAATTTAGTGATCAAACATTTCATAAAGAACTACAAGAACTAGTCAAGATCCATGATAGACAAAGAAAAGGGAACAGATATCCACAAAAGTAGTAAGGGCTCAAAAGAAAAAAATTACAAATAACTCAGTATTCTTGCCTAGACCACTATTATTTCCACTCTCAAAAATACATTTATGAGTTCAAAACAGCTGGAGAATCAGTGCTCAGTGCTGTGATCACAAGCAAGTCGTTTTTTCAGCACAGTGGCAGGTAAGTCCTTGAAAAACTCAGCAAGTCACTCTAACAATTATATTTGAATACTCAGCCACGTCCACTGTTCTAATTCTTGTGAGCTACTGTCTACCAAAAAAACAGCACACAGTTCCTGTGCAGTTTCATTTGATACAACGGTGGGACAGGTGAAAGTGCCACTAGAGGCCAAGTAAGCAATTCCATGCTTCCATATTCTCACAAACTCTAAAAATATCCTTGAGCTACTTTACAGAAAAACGTTAGTTACTCATTTAACAAATGTCTTGAGGGTTCTCAGTGGCTATCCCCTTTTAAAGCAGAGAGGCTTATTTCAGGAAGTTTCACATACTAATTGTGGCTTGCTAAAGGGGAAAAAACATGGCTTGCAAAAAACGTTAAGCCCATGGGAGAAGCTTCAAACCAACTGCTACCCTCCCTTCACTTCCCCTTTCCCAGTTTGAGGCCAGCAAGATTTTGGGTGATTGTTAGGAAACAGCCGTCTTTTACAGCATCCATGCCTCCTTTGTGAAGGCTAGCCGGCTGTCACTTCCTGTTTTTTTTTTTAAATGCCCAACTGGTGTCAAACAATTCTCACCTGAACTGTTATTCTACTGAATTGCCTTAGCAATTTCCATATAAATATAATTTATATTTGAAAACAAATTCAATAACATGGGTCACTGAATGGAGTGAAAATAATAACAGACAGAACCAACTTGCCACTCATGATTAAGTCCAAAATAACTTCTGAACTGCTATATAATCAATTATTCCAGAGCAAAATAATTTGAGAGCAACTAGAGATTTATCATGATCAAAACAGGCATCTATCCTGCCTAGGTGTATGTAACTATACACCTGTCAATCTGTCATCAATGCCCAAGAAGTTTCTAGACCAAATCATAAAGTGATCAACCTGCAAACACCTTGAAACAAGCAGTCATCATCCAAGTATCAGTACAGGTTTGTCAAAAAGTCAAGACTTGCCAGATTAACCTTATCTCATTTTTTGACTAACTTCCTTAATAAATTGGGAAAATGTTGTACATCATGACATTCTAATTATTCAACTAGTTAAGCAATGGCATGACAATTAAGGGAATAGGGAGCTGGCTCCAAAGCCATAATTTAATTGCTCATTGAGGTCTTTGGTCCCAGGCCTGTACTGTACTCAATATTTTTATTAATGAATGGACTGAAAAAGGGGAAGGAATGCTTATCGAATTTGCAAATGACACAAAAGTGGATGGAACAGCAGAACAAATAAATTTCAAATAACCTCTTGAGAAATAAACCTGACAATGACAGAATGAAATATAGACCACTGAATGCAAAGTTATACACACAGGAAACAGGAATCAAATGCATGGATACTATAAATGATGAAGGATATCTGACTTAATAACAGTACTTGTGAAGAAGCTATTGGAAAAGTGGGTTAATTACAAACTGAATATGAGTCAATAGTGGGATGTGGCTGCAAAAAAGCAAACACAATTTTAGGCTGCATTAATAGAAGTACAGATTGCAAATCACAAAAGGTAATATTCATTTATTCCATATTGGTCTGATCTCATCCGGACTATTGTTTTCAGTTTCGTACATCACACTTTAAAAAGGATTCAAACAAAATGGAACACATTCTAAGGGAAGCAAGGATGAGGAAGAACTAGAAATTAAAATTTACAAAGAGAGATGGTAGGAACTGGAAAGGTTTAAGTCTTGAGGAAAAAAAACTACATGGGAATATGTTTCAAATATTTGAAGTAATGTCATACAGAGAAGGCCACCTCTGTTCTTTATTGCACTAGAGCACGGGAGACAAAATGGATTTAAGCTATTAAAAGAAAGATTCCGATTACTTTTTAACAGAGCAATTCAACAGTGGAATCAATTACCCAGTGATGTAGTAGTTTCCGCTTCATTGCATGTGTTCAAGCAGGGACATATTCATCTATCAGGGATGTTTAATTTGGATTCACACACAGAGCAAAGAGGTAGGCTCTATAGCCTAACAGGCCCCTTCTTATCAATTATTAATAGAATACTTTCTCCTCCTTGATATTCCCAAATACTTCAGTCAAGGGAATGATACAGAAATTCAACACAGGAAAATGCCTCATTTCTAATTTAACTACACCCTCTTTCCCAAAAAGAGTGACACCACTCCCAGAATATCCTCCTCTGCCATTTTACAGAATCTATATCCAGAAATGACTGTATATTATTGGTTCATTCCATTCTACCAAGTTTCAGGGATGTTCAATATCTTGGTTTGACATCTCCATCTTGGCTTGTCAACTACTGTCATTACCATACAACATTTAAGACAGTGCCTGTCTCCGTATATTTTGTGAATGTGAATTCCTTATGACAAAAAAAAAATTAAAAAAGGGAATAACTTCAAGTAAATCTTGACTCCTGGTGACTTCCTGGACACATCTCTGCAGTTTTCCTGGCAAGATTTCACAACTGGTTTGTCATGGCCTCCTTCCTAGGGCTGAGAGAGAGGGACTGGCCCAAGGTCACCCAGATGGCTTTGTGCCTAAGGCAGGACTAGTACTCACAGTCTCCCAGTTTCTAGCCTGGTACCTAACCACCACACCAAACTGGGTCTCATGATACTCCCTAACTCCAGTCAATTTTCTTCTGGGGCCAAGTAAAAAATTTGCTCTGAATGGTTTGCCCACGGGAGTTTGGTATATATATACAACGTCTTAAAATTAGAGTTTTTCCTTCTGCGTATAACAGTTTTGAAACTAATGGGAGCAGGGCACACAATGTAGTCATATACTGGCTGTGTTCATCCAAAAACATAACCCGTGGTCCATCTAACCTGCACTGAATAAACCACGGTTACCTGGGTTGACACAACACAAGCTCTAAAAACCATGGTCTACTAACAGTGGCTGAGTTCACATAACACACAAAGAAACACAAGCAAATCACATTTTGGTTCAGCATACTGTGTAAACCCACAGATGCGTCAACTTCCATTCATACTCCTTAGGCCTGTAATATTTTCTCATTTTTTCCCAGGTTAAAAGCATGATCAAAACCAAATTTAGTTATGACACAGATCTTAGTAGAAATAGACAGCATGAATTCCCAGGAAGGCAGAATATAGAGCTCACAAATAAATCAAACTCTCCAACTCTGAAAAAGCACAGCCTAAGCCTGCAATTCTGAGCATGAATCTACTCCCTGTGACCTGCTCCCAACGAAACATACGCAGGACTCGTCTAGAAATGATGAAGGCTCCGCTTTACCTGAATCTTTGAAATGTGGCTCCTTTTCACCGGCCTTCTCAGTTTTGCAACACAGCCTATTAGTTACCGAGTACGGTCTTTTAGAGGCACGTGGAACCGAAAAAATGCGTTTGTCCAGCCTCCTGGCAATTTTGCCTGAGGGAAAAAGAAACGGCCTTATTTAAAAAAAAACAAAGAACACCCGAGAAACGAAGGAAAGAGGTAACCCACCACTTGGCTTCCGATTCCTCTAGCTCGAGACAGAACTGGACAGATGGTTGCTCGGAGAAAGTTCACGAGACTGAGCGGAAAGGAAGGAGCCCCGTTTTTTTGGGGGGGGGGACCTGAAAGCTGCCTTGCAGCCAGCAGAAGCACCCACCAACAGCCAGAGGAAGCCCAGACATGGTCGCGATCCAACGTTGGATTTCCGCGGTCCGTCCTTCGGTTTCCGGCTCTTCCTCTCCCCTGCTCCAGCCGTCGCCTTCGCGCACAGGCCCGGCGGAACCGCTCGCCTCTTGCCAAGCGGGCGAGGTTGGGTGGCTGAGGCCGACTAGTGGAACCAGCGCCAAGTGCAGATAAAGCGAGAGCGGAGCGCAGGGAGAGTGAGATTGCTCCCTGGCGTAATACGGATTTTTGCTGCTCACTTCATTACTTGAGAAACTGTTTTTATGTCGACTTTAATGTGATTGAAATATGTCCTATTGCAGGGGTGGAAATAATTTTCACTGCTCTTTTTGGGGGGGTTCCTAATGTTAATTCATATTTTCTTTGATACGATGCCAATATATTCTGGTAACAATGTAAGAGAATATTCTGGTAAAGATATCGACGTTTTCAGATTAGTTCTTTCATTGGAAATGGTAAAATGTATGTGGAATAGCAGCAGCACACTGGAAGATTGGCCCCTGAAATGTACCCTCGCTTTTAGTGAGACTAGAATCGTGGATCTAGTCTGGACTGAAGGCACCAGTAAGAAAGCAGGGATCGTAATGATAGTCCATGCAAATAAGACATCAACCAGAATTACAGCTCTTCACACTGGCATGGCAGTCCTAGACTGGACAAGGCCTCCTTACAGCCCTTTATGTTATCCATAACACAAGAATCTGACAACCTTAAATGCCTACCTCATAAGTAGACATTTGGTCTCTATGATCACTTTTTCCATCATACAGTATCACAGGGCCCATCCTCCCTTGCAGCTAAATACAGTACAAAAATGCCCTGGCAGCATCTTATTTCTGCTATATCCATGAAGATAATACTGTCATCTTGTCCCCATCCCATGAGCAAGACAGGCTTAAGAAGACCTTCATACCACTATTGATAAAAACTTTCCTCCTTCAAGCCAACAGGATCCAACAACAGCTGTAAGGTGTGTAAAATCTGATAACATTTCACCACCACCCCCGCCCCTTTACATCAGAGACCAAGACCAAGCAACAGTTATTGGCTGTTTCAGGCTGATGCATCCGCTCTTCACTGGCTCCTGGTCAGCCTCATTTGCTCTCATACTGCTGTTGAAGAGCTGGATCCCGTAGCACAAAACCACTGGTCTACCCCAGCTGGGAGCACTATAACATTTGCCAGTTTAGGGCAAAACTGAAAAGCAGAACATGGACTTATGAGACCTCTCCCCATTACTTTGTAAACAGAGATGAGAAGAATCTGGAAGTTGGTGCTTAGAAGTAATTCTTCACCAACTGCAAGGGCTCCATTTTTGAAAATCTTGCAGTCAGATAATTGGTGATTGGTAAACTTAAAAGGAAAAATAGGGTTAGGGGAATTAATGCATGATTCCACCTGTCTGTAGGTGGGGTAGGGGTTTATGATGAAATGTCACAGCACAAATCCACCACTTATGTACTTGTGTGCAACCTCATTATATAAATACGGAAGGGTGGAGCCTGCCTGCATCATCACATCATGCCACACATTTTGTCATTTTAGCATCATAGCTAGGAGCAGACTCCTATGCTTCAAACATTTTTTAACCTGTAAGACTTCAAATTAAAGAAACAATCCAGTTCTTCCTAAGAGATCAAGCAAACTGAGTATATGAACAAGGAGAACTAACAGAACCTGGGTGTGTAGCTTGGCAGGAGAGTCCCTCATAAAATTTTCCTCTGGCTAGCCTGAGATCTGAGCATGGAACAAGAGGAAACCATGAAGAAATTATAAATAGACATGATTCCGCAGTGATGATCTGCAAAACTGGGGACATACTTATCCTGCTTGGGAACAACTTGGCATATATTAAACAGCATGTAAAAGCTTAAAGTGGTGTTAGAAAGAAAGGTATGAAGATTGAAGCAGCAAGTAGCAACACTTCAGCATATAAGACAAATCAAAGATTTATTTGGCCAAACAAAAGAGATAGGAGCAGACAGAGGAAGCAATTTTCCAGAGGGAAGAGAATCAAGTAAAGAAGCAAGCTCATTATTTGAGGATAGAGACAACCAGAAACAAACGTTCCTGAGACTACATATGTTCAATGAGATTTGATTTCTTCTCTGCATGACGGACTGCTGGCACAAGATGAGTGACACCTCACAAAGTCCAGGAAAAATGGTCAACGTGTGATAAACTTGATCACAAGGGCTTTAAACTATGGGTGAGACACTGAAGTCTGAAATAAAAACTTAAGAACACTTGAGTGTTGTAGAAGAAAGTGACTACCAGGAGGCAAGCACCTGACTGGTTTCATCCTGTTTGGGACTCATCAGATATAGGTACAGACAATTCTTGTTATTCACGAATTCCATATCTGCAAATTCACTTACTTGCTAAAATGTATTTGTAATCGCGAAATCAATACTTGCAGTGCTTTCGCAGTTAATCATGGACACACAGAGCAGCAAAATATTTGCGTCACCAGGCACGCACATTCCCGAGATTTCAGCATTCGCTAATTCAGTATTTCCAGCAACTTTATAGAACAAAACTACCACAAATAATGAGAATTACCTGTAATCAGATATTATGGGAACTGAACTAATGAACCTTTGCACTTCAGATGACTATATACAATGCAGTAGCTTTAGGAGCTATCCATGTCCTGGACTCAGCAGTTGATGGAAGGAATACAGGTAGTCCTCAGTTAACAGCAGCAGTTGGGATTTCTGTTGCTAAGTGACATGGTCAAGTGCAATGTCACATGACTATGTCACTTAGCAGTGGCAGTTCCAGCACTTCACAGTTGCTGTTGTTAAGTGAGGATGTCATGTAGTTGCTGTTTGCAACCTCCTGCCAGCTTCCCATTGACTTCACTTGTAGGAAGCCAGCAAAGAAGGTCATAAATGGTGATCACATGACCCTGCGACATCGTAATTGCAAGCTGGGTGCCAAACACTCAGATCTCAATTACATGACCACGGGGATGCTGCAATGGCCAGAATTTTGGGGACTGCTTGTCACAAGTTCAAACAGTTGCTGAACAAGTGGTTGTTAAGTGAGAACCACCTGTATATAGAAGCTATCAGAAGCTACAGTTCACTTTTCCTTAAAGTCTCAGAGAGAGATACAGATATAACATGTAAAAAAATTATGCCATGTAAAAAAGAAGTAGGAGTGTTGTGGTAACAGGGCCTGTTAAACCACTTAATAACAACTCATAAAGTTTATGGCCTTCATTAGTTTATACACTAATGCTAATGGCAAATAAACAAGATGAAGTTGAACTCCTAAAAGAGTGATTGAGATGCTCTCTGAAACCTAGGGTACAATAATCTTTGGAGCTGCACCCAGTACACCAATGTGTGCACAACAAATTCCATTTCACAATAGCTTTTAAGAACAAGTTTAACTTCTGACAAGTTTTATTTTAAATAGAAACGATCCCTAAAATCCATTTCCTGTAGCCATTTGGAATGGTGAATTTCAACATCCCTTCAAGTCTCCTTCGTGGCATGCCCTAGTTCAGACGTGGCTTCCAGATCAGCTATATTTGCCCCCCTAATGCAATATTCTTCCTAACCGGCTTGCCTACAAAAGGCCCCTGACAACTTTGTGTCCGTTCAGCTGCCCCAGGAAAGGGATCGGCTGCAGGGG